GGGGAGCGGGAGGGGGGGGGGGGGGGGGGGTGGAAGGGCGACGCGCCGCCAGACCTCCGAATAATCGTTCCCTAAAGAAGCGTCCTGATGTCGTTGGGCCGAGAAGAGCGCGTGTGGTGGACGTTGGTTGGGAGCGCATTGCTGTGTGTCTGGCTATCCCAGGAGCGTTAGTTCTCTCGCAGGTGGATAGAGGGGCATTTCGGAACAACCCGCTAACAATAGAATTGCTAGCGCCTTCGGCGGCTAAGAGCTTGATTGCAAGTTGATTAGAAGTAACAGTTTCTCGGTGAAGACTGCGTTGCCTTCGTTGATATTCGAGTGAGCAACGTCGCCGTAGCACAGTTGTAGCTCTAAACTTGCGGAAGGGCAGATGTCGTGGCGTCGCGAACGCGCTTGACGTCCACCGTTTAGATGAGCGTCATCCTGTATATCGTCGAGACCAGGTTGGGAGAGTCCGGTGACAGCCTCATCCTTAACCGGCAATGTATCAGATAGCTGGGCAGAACCCCCTAGCGTGGATGACGAAGATGATTTGGACATACTGAGGGTATTCGGCATGACGACGGATAAAAGCAAAAGTGATGGTCTGTCTGCGCTGATGGTATGTTATTTGAGGACGGGCGCGCGTGGGTGAGGCTCATACGGATCACGCGAAGGGGTGCCGGGGGATTGACAATATCTGCGTGATTTTATGAGAACTGGGTTTTCGGTGACGGGCAGAGAAGAAATGTTGTGGGAGCTGTCAGCATTGTTTTGATGCGTCGCGAAGATAGCAGGATTTTAGCGTGGGACTGGGAAAGCAGCAATATGTTGTCGCATCCGTTAACAAGCGCGCGGCGTTAAGCCGCCGATGCTGACGTGGTCCGGGCCCCGTAGACTGATGTCGTCCGTTCACCTTTGCAACACGTATGCTCTGACCTTCGACTCAAGGGACGCGCTGGCGCTAGCTCCTTTTCCTCGATTTAATTACCCGAGTTTTAGAAAGTTTTTCTTCTCAATCCTCCAGTACCTGTTCATAAACGACTTCCGCGAGTTACGTTCAAACCCTATAGAAGACAAGATCCAGGCGCACTAATTGTTAATATGCCGTCCTCCCCTTCGTCCTTCTGAGATTCAAGGATGTGCTGTGTTCGATAACTGTGCCATTGTGAATACACCAGACGGCATGGATCCGAGTGTTAAAAAAGATTAATGCCAGTACCTTGGAATGAAAGTCTTAAGCTAACCAAAACAAGCAGAACATTGAAGCCTACCGTACATACGAAGGAGATAATCAATAGCAAGATTTTCATTCATCAAGCCTTCATGGAACGTTTGGAAGGCTCGGTAACGAAACGTCGTTTGCAATTAAGGACCCAGAAGGAGGATAATACAAAAGTGAGTTTGCGATCTGGAAGAGACAAAAGCCCGACAGTGGGACTCGACAAAGAGAACGACATCATCGAGATTGCAAAAAGCAGCAAACACTACGCAGCATCTCATTTTGGCGCTGCCACTGATAGATCCAGCGGATGGCATGAATACAGTATCCCCAACCTTTCGATTGATGCGAGGTTGGTTGACCTGACGGTCCCTATCCGAGCTGTAATGCCGGTCATCGGGGAGAAGGATAAGAGGGGAACGGGTATAAGGGAAAAGATGAAAAGCGAAGATAAAAGCATGAAGTAAAAAACCCATGGTTATCTCGGTTTGAAAGTCAAGGCTAATTCGACGGGTGCAGAGATACTATCACGCGAGTCCGCTTATAAGCTGGGCCAATGGGATCGTCTCTGACATCCCATGTTGGCGTCTGTAAGAGGCAATTGAGAGAACTGACGCGTGCAGCCTTCTATTTAGTCAGTGAGAAAAAAAACGAATCTGGAACTGTTAAGACCTCTGACTTGTTAAGAACTTTACGCGCTTGAAGCTATTTACGCGCCATACAATTCGTAACCTGCGAGTACCACTCTACGAACTTCTTGTCATCCAAAACGGCCGAGTAATCTGCTTGTAGTGACACCAGCTTTAAGCTGAACGGGAAAACGGATGCTATTCTGTGAGCTTTCTTTTTACCTACACCTCATTCCATATACAGCGGTGATCCTATAGCAATCGGAAGGGCAAATGGTTTGCCCGCAGGTAAGAGCGGAAAAGAAATGGAAAAAATGCCAGGAGATTCGTTCGCAAAAAGCCCTTCACCCCATCTCAAACGTATGTGTCAGACGGATGACCACTAGGTCCCTTGGTCGCGTCTACCAGGGGACGAAGGAAAGAAAAAAGAGAAAATGTCAGTGTAAACTGGAAATCCCACGTTTTGGAAGCGTCCGTGACGACGGCCAGAACAGAAAGAGTGAGTCGCAAGAGATGTGGGTGCAGTAATCGTTCGCAACAAACAGGAAAGAGAAGTGACGGAAGAAGGCCCGAATGCTGGCTATAGCACAGCGTGAAAGCATTGAAGAAGACAATTAGGAGTCTCATAAACGAACAGGAAGAAAAGAGCGAGAAGTGTTGCAAACTATGTACTAAGGCTACCAGACACTGAGCAAAGTGAAGGAAAGGAAAAAAATCATGTGGAAGAGAACTGTGTAGCCACTTTGACTAACAGTTAAAGAGAAGCCGGAGGAAAGAGAAGGGAAGTATTTATTCCGATGGAGGTAAAAAAAAGAAGAAAAGTGTAAAGACTGACCTCCGCCGGCGACATCGATCGCTGCTACCAGTTCGTGTTGAGAAACAAATACAGCGCGAATATATATCTGTTATACAGGCTACATGGAATCGAATTGATATAACATGCAATAGTAGAAGGTGTGGGTCGAGGCTGGCGGAGGTCGTGGTCTGGCAAGACGGCGTCCAGGGGTCCGATCTTCCATCCTCCAGCGTTGCTCGCACCAGCTTTTGTACCGCCGCGATGCCAGCTCCTGTAATCAACAGAAGTCATCAATACAACAACTGATCCGCCGAGCATGCCTATGTCTTATTGATTTTTGATGCTGTTCACCTGTTACCCTACTAAGCTGTCCGAGCTCTTACGCTCGGATAAATTCTCAGTGAACCATATGCTCATGAAATTCTGGCCACTACTGTAAAAACTGAGAGAGCTGGATCCCGCTCGCTTAGGCGTAGGGATTATGCAGGAAGCGGACCACTCGTGAATTGAGCATAGCTCGAGTAGAAAAAGCAGTTAAGTTGAAATGAGAGGGGAATGAACCATGTTGGTTCATCACGCAGGTTTGGGCAGGACTTAGCTCATGGCGTGCAGGGCGCGCACGAGGTGTGTTGCTTTGTTGGGAACCATTTGCTCCTGCTCTCTTTGGCTTTTAGACTTGGAAAAATATAGGCGGCGTGTCAACTTCAAAACAAGGAGGAAGATAGTGCAGCGTCCGCCAGGCAATCCGGCTGGTATTACTATACGCGCTCTCTAAACACGCTATAATTTTAAGCAGAGGACATTTTCTCTCATTGAAAGTATTCAGTGAGCTGTGGAGCAGCATTCATATTCTGAAACTATTGAAGAATTGGATCTTTACATTTTCATGTTTCACTTCTTATTTTGATACCTGTTTTTCCTATATGGACGAACATAGTCGTGCGCCATTCTTATGCGACAGCGGTTTTTAGAACTAAAGAACAGCGAATGTGCTTGATTCCTGGTGTAACCAAATGATATGCCTATGACTCAAGAATAGAACTTTTCTAAAGTTTGCAAATAACATCCTAGCTTCAAGAATAGAAGCGGCATATTTTCGCGGACAACATACGTTTTCTTGCTTGTTCAAGTAAGATTTTCGATGTTCAGGAGAAAGTCACGTCTTCCTTTCCTTCGAAAGGATTCTTCGTGAAGTCTTTGTGAACAATTACAGATATGAGTAGTCGCCTGTCTGCATCTTCGCGCTTCATGAATAGCTTCCGATTTCGCATCAAGGCACAGAAGACTGTATCACATTTTTTAATTTGTAGTAGAAATTGCAAAACGTACACTGGTAAAGCCGTTTCCAGAAAGTTGCTGAGGGATGTGAGGATCACTTGACAAACTACACTTCGGGTTAACACCTTTAGCATCGAATTTCAATATTAGTCCGTCACTCGGCTGCCCAATGAGCTACGTGGCTCGACTCCAGCATATTGACTGATTGCTTGTTTGCTTCGATTTGCGCCATTAATCGAACATTCCTAAAAATTTGGACTTGTAAGTATATAGCTCTCAACTGTTTCCAATGAACCTTCCAATGAACTAGCAGTAGATAATACCGACTCGGGTTTTATTTCGGAGACACATTGGTTCCCTTGAGAATTTATTTTTTTTTAATTTCAAGTTCACCTTTTACAGGATTACATGTCGATCCCTCAGGAGAGCCTGAATTTGGATCATGTTCAAGCGACGACCTTCCCCAATACGCTCTACACAAATCCTTCCTCAAATGCACTCAATCTGATATGTCATAATTTTGAACATTCGTACGGATCATTCGCGTCCGGAATATCAACTCCAAGAGGTTTGCTGTTTTTGAACGGATTTTAGAAGCTTATTTCAAAAGCTACGTGCCAAAACGTCCGCAAAGAAATCTGAAATTGGACAATGACAAAAAAATGTATTTGTGATTGGGAATTAGGGCTGCCTACACGGCGTCGAGCTAGCAATTTCGATGTTGGTACAAAGGATTGAAAAGCCATGAAAATTGTTTCTCGCTTCCGATCAACGTGAAATTTTTTCACTAGACGGATAGAATGCATGGCTCACAACTATGACAAAGATGTGAACTTGCACTTGCAAAATGCTATAATATCGCTACATTCAGCTAGAATTCGAGTTAGATTTCTACCTCGCAAGGGCAAAAACCATTTCAATTGCGCCATCACTTTTGAGGGAAAAAAATCTGAATTTGAAAGCTGCATTCGAGAAGGTCTACGTTGTCATTGAATACTGGTCTATGCAGATTGCGAGAAGACCTTAATTTGCAACCAATAAACAGCGAATGAATCACAGCGGATAAATTCCTTCTGCTTTATATGTTTCGAAATTCTTGCGCACATAATTTCGAGACACCCTGTGCATCTAGGGATGAATCCAGCTCCGAAAAGAGAGTATAGTCGGTCCGATCGTGTCTCAATTTCGAAAATTGTATTTTTTCCAAAGCTGGACTGAAGGATATACATTCGGTCTGCCGATACTGGACTGCGCATGTCAGAATAGTGACACCTTTGCGCATTCAACGCTTTGGGTAGTTTGAAGAATTTCTATAATGATTGGCGGAAGTATTCGAGTCACTAAACTTGGCTGTATTGTCAATCGAGTTTGAATTGGGTATTTAGCTGGTTGTTTTAATGATGCCGTCAACTCATTCTACTCGATTGTTTAGTCCCTCGCTTCCATCCTCAATCCGTTAATGGTCGTTGTTGGGGGTTGTTGTAGTGGTTTTGTTCCAAGAATCATGATCCTTCCCATCATGTTATAAATGGGATTGAGGAGAAATAAACTACTGATTCCTACACTAGCAGAATCAAATATTGAGAAAAGTTTCCGAGCCATTAGTTTCGATGCGGTGGACTATTAAAAGGTTATACGAATCTCTTTCAAGGGATTGTTGATATGTTTCCCTCATGAAACTATGTAAAGGACCGATCTCATTCTTCTAGTCTCACCAGTTGGTAAGCTCTTTTTGTGTTCCGATGAGTAGGATTGAAACAAGCCCAATTGTAAGAAGCATCCACTCCTGTCTGAAAGCAAGTCTGTAGCATATAATAGGCAGATGTCATGATTTGCAGCGTTTACAATTTTTGCGCTCTCTTGCACTAACGTAGAAGTTTTTTGGTTTCTGCTCCTTTGCTGTGATCCCTCCTTGAAAGAAAAATGATACTTCACTAGACAATATAAAATTATTCCCGATTTTGAAGGATTCCATCTCTGTTCCAAACGGGACGGGCTGTGAATACGGTTTTGGAAACATTCGCTGGCGTGGATTTGAATGGAAGTCCTGTATGTTATCGAAATCCTTCTTCATTTCACCTATCTGACAAAATCAGGATACGAGTTGTCGTCCGTGGATCTTGCTTCATTCGAGCTGAAAGAGAATCTGCAGCGAATCCCAAACCATATTTCTCTTTTATTGTCATATTTATGATGAAAGTTAGATTTCTTTTGCAGGCATCCCATTCAAGAGGTACATAGATATCTCAGCCAACGTGGGCAATGCAGGGGAAATTTGGTAAAAGAACCCTTTGTTAGAACTGATTCATGTCGATAAAAGTTTCTATGATGTTATGATATTTGGAAGACTGATTATGGTTATGACTCAGTCGATGGGCTTCTAGAGAGAGAGGAGGCACTGGTGAAATTAGTGGGTTTCTGAGGGCGGATAGGGTTTGTACCTTCATAGAGCTGGTTATATAGTCGTGAGCTATGGTACCTGAAAGTACGCTCATATTTAGTTATTTTGAACACATCGTTCATATTTCCCCAGTATTTAAAACATATTTAAAACGTATAAGAGGTGATGACAAACTGACAGCTGACAAAGTTCACAGAAGCTTGGGACTGCCGTAACAGTGTTGATAGGATTCTCTTCCTCAATAGATCGTCTCGTGTTACAACAAAATTTATTGTGTTATTTTTCCATACCCCCATTTCCGAAGAAGTTCTATTGGACAGTGCTATTTCTCATCAAGCTATCTTTCTTAATAAGGACTTTTTC